TTTTTTTTTTGACAAAGTAAAAATATGCAATACAAATAAACTTGACTTTTGAAATAACGACCTTTAAGCAGGTACAGAATAAACTTTTTTATAAAACCCACATTCCTTTCCTAAAAATATCTAGTTTACTACACTAATCTTAAATGTTGTTTTTTCGTTGGCTGTAAGTAGAAAATGTCATAATTAACAAAACTAAATGGTTGAAAACATCGCTCTGTGTTCAGTTAATCTATAGAATGTGAAGTAACTAACATGGTTTTAGTTTATAGGAAATAACTGCACATACAGTGTGTTTATGATCAGTTTTCAATAATGACTAAAGACAGACAAAAGTGTTGCTTAGCATAGGAAAGAGATAAATAATTTCTTAAAGTTTCAGAGGATGCATTTTAAAATAAACAGTAACAACATGCAGAAGTAAACGCAGAGCTATCCGTCCCCCCGCTCAGAGTCTAGTTGCAATTCTGAACTTAACAATGTACCACTCTGCGCCTGCCATTGATTTCTCCACCATTTATTTCTGTTTTGGTTCATGCATGGGGTCTCTGCATTTGAAAGTGGATGCTTGTCTCTGAAAGACGGATCCATGCATAGACTCCACTACTTTTGTAGTCTGCTGCGGTTTTATATGATAAGGTTTTTTAGACGTTCAAAATCAATATGTAATCCTGTGCAGGGGCTTATCCCCAGGACTGGGCCATTTGTGGGGCTCTTTGAGCTTTGTTACAGGTCTTCTGGGCACTCCGTGCTGCAGATTGATTAGCTTCAGCACCAGAATCCTATCAAATAGCCAGCTCTGATGATGGAGCAAATTCTCTCGCCGCCTCTAGTTGACTGGACCTGGAGATAAGGACGGATGGCAATTCCTTCCCTTGTGAAGGCCGAGGTGCAGGGAGGGAGAGGTTGTGTCTGCACTGACCCCCTGCGTGGCTCACACAGAACCAGGAGCTGCTTAGGAAGGTGTGTGTCAGTAATATCAGCAGCTGTGCATAAACCTAGATGTTTACTCTGAAAAGTATAAAAGGTTTCATTACAATATGTCCAGAAAACAAGCAAAATCCCTGGTCGGGGCTTGATGCTCAATTCCGAATTTTGGCCTAAATTCATTTTTTTGTGGTCGTTCATACTTATAATTCAATGTGACCGCAATTAGACTTTTGTGTGAACTGTTTACGACCCCAAAGTGACCCACATTCGCAGAAGAACGTTGACGTCAACCAGCAATGCATTGTTTACAAAAATAAAAGTGGACGCCTCTATGTATTAGATCAATTTCAACGTTTATTCAGCAATGGGAGCCGATGGTGTTGCCACAAGATCGTAATAAGACACAAAAAAGAGCTAATCAAAAGAAGGCACAACTATAAGCTGTGGTTTTTTGTGGAGAATTGAAGGCAGCTTGTGTCTGTTTGGGTGTTTAGTCAGAACCAAGAGTGGTGGGATTGCGATGCGACGCACGTCAGGAAATTTTAATCATAATTTCATGAATATTATTTCGTTTGGTCATTGTTTACGTCAGATCTGGTTTTGTCTGCAGTGACTCCCCCAGAACATTTTCTTAGGGATGGCCAGACCAAACCAGGCCAGTAAAAATTTAAACAATTAAAAAAATTATTTATTTTTTATATTTTTATTGGGGTTTACATTTATGTCTTTATTGAAGTACGTTACTGTATGCCTTTCTATGACCCGAATGTGATTATTTGGGGGCTAGTGGAGTGGGAAGCATTTTTCAACAGGGGGCAATGGCCCCTTTCTCCCCCCCTTGGAGACGCTATGATGCACGTCTCAGGTCACATAAAAGTTGAATAAAATGAAACTTGATCCTTCAGATCACAGAGTCTTTGAAAATCGGACACGTATCCGACTTAGTACCACATATGGAAGTGTCACAAATACAGTTTTTTGGATGAAAAAATCTTAAATGGGCCGTTTACGCCTGAGTAATTTTATTATAAAGTATCGTTACGCCGGATTCTCCACAGTGAGAAACTGAATGACAAACAAACATGACACAGAAACACCTGCAGTTATTATTTAAGTTTCATAAGTTTTATTTTGAAAAAAATTGATTTTTTTTTTCTTTTAAATTTCCCTGGTTTTATTTTTTTTTTTTATTATGTTACAAAATTAATTTAATTTTGGTCCTTGGTCTGATGATACAATTTTTAAATATTAAACGATTGATAATTTGATCAAAAACAAGAAAACTTTTTACCAAATACTTTTTTACTTTTCCTGGAGTATTTTTTTTTTTTTTGTTGGCTTTTGCTTTTACTTTTACTTGAGTAAAAATACATTGAAGTAGTGAGTCCAATTTTTGACCTCTGACATTAAAGTCTTGATTTTGGTTTTTTATCTTTCCATGTTTAGATGATCGCTTGAACAGAAGATCTGTGATGTCGTTTTATTACCTAAGGTTGTTTTAAACTTTTCAACAAGAATTTTACCATTTTTATAAAATCTACATTAATTTGTAACTGCATCACTTAAAAGGGAAACATGTCATTTTTACACAGGTTTCAAGATGATGAAGACTTTTTTTTTTTTTTAAATCATCTTTTTGGCACATTTTCTTCAATTTTGTTGAAGTTACCTTTAAAATCAAGTTTGCATCCAGACAGATGGGAAAAACCTTATCATGTTTACTTTATTCCTCTTTTTTCTTGCACAGAGGGTGCCAGGGAAGTGAATCTGTGCATTCCTGCATGCCTTGCCAGCGCTCACATGGTTACCGGTGCTCCGCATTGTAAGAGATATCTGAATGAGCGCTGGCCATGCGAGTTTTAAGGTGATTGCCCGAGGGGCAGCAGAGTGAAAGAGCGAAGAACAGAGCCAGAGAGGAGAGGAAGGGGGGCATAATCCTAAAAGGATTGGAAGTTCACCCCCATACACACACAAACACACACGCGCACACACACACACACCTTAGTAATTCCCTTCACACGGTGTGTGTGTTTCAGGGGGTGATGGGTACTGGATAGGGTCAGTTGGTTTCGTGGCTCTGGTGTCTGATTTCTCCATCCTCGTCATCCCCCCTGCCTCCCTTTATTGTTTGCCTTCTTAATGAGCGGGGCCGGGCCCGGGGCCTCTGATTGACACCTCCAGACTGCTCTCTCTCAACTCTCCGGGGTTATCTCTGTCTGGACTCGCTTCCTACTGTACCTGATGCCAAACGACGAGTTGCTTCTTATTCCCAATGAGATACTAGCAAGTCTGTGTTTTTTAGCACTTAAAAGTGACTATTCCACTTCCTTGAGCAGGTTAGGATAGATCTATTTGATATACAAAACATGTTCATTTAATTGGTTTCAGAAAATCGTTCTTAGATAATGAGATTTTAGTCTGGTCAGTTCTGCCTATTTTGATCTCCATTCAAAATGTGCTGTTTTTGAACGTTTTGTCTCTTTAAATCCAAATGATCTGCTGCTGGCCACACCCCCTAACTGAACGTTAACACTTGCACAAGAAAATGGCTGCAAACAGACGCAAAATTATACAAAAAGAGACTCCTGTACAACCAACAAGAATGCAGCAAGTGGTTTCTGAATATTAAGTCAACAACAAAACATTTGTCTTTTCCGGCAGCCATTGTAAAGCGCATAAAGTGGTAAAACCAGCTGACCAGACATGCTGGAGCTCTGCTTGGGTTGCTAGTCAACTTGCTGGGCTTTGCTGGGGGCGCTAGGTGAAGGGGCAGTGCCTGCTGATCTGTGATGTTAAATTACAGAGGTTTTTGAAATGACTCATTTTTCAGACACCAAAAAGATTAACTTATTGCCACAAACTGTCTGGGTTTTTTTTAAGCGCTTGGTCTGTTTTTAGAAGCGACTCAAATGGAAGAACAAAAATGTGAATTTTGCATAATACATCCCACTTAAGAATAAATATGCGAGCCGCTCCTGCACATGGGTGTCACCTTCAATCAGTATTTTAAGAAGCGCTCACTATGGTATAATTTTAGACTGATGTTCTTCCTGGTGGAAAGAAAATGGAAAGAAAATTTCCGCAGCACTTAAACACAGGTTCTTCCTCCTGACAACTAACGATCCATAGAGTTGAGATATTCAGATTTTTTTTTCTTTAAATAAAACTGTACAGCAAGAATACTTGACGAGACTTTCAAAGAAAATTAGCTTGTTTTCTGTGCATAAGTGCATTATTAGGATGGAGGATCATGAGTGTCTGAATAGTGTAAATTTACACTAGATCCCAATAAAAATATCTAATTGTGTGTGTGTGTGTGTGTGTGTGTGTGTGTGTGTGTGTGTGTGTGTATGTGTGATCTGTCAAAAATAAGGACCACCTGCCTTTCTAAATATAAACGGGGTTTAACCAGATGAGATGGTTGTCTCTTTTACTTGCAGACGGTGCTATTTACGCCTTCAGTGAATCTCCTCTCCGTTCTGCAGATGTTTGCCAGATTGGTCCTCACACACAGCTGTACACACAGCCAGGTAAGATGACAGTCAGTGAAGTGCTGTTATCTACTCCGCCAGCCTCCAGTTGCTCCACTGAGCCCAGTTCATCATTACTGGGACGGCGTGTGAAGAGAGGACGCAGCGGCCGGGTCAAGTGACTGCACTCTGCAGAGAGAAACCTCTCCTGTCCTATCTGTCCCATCTGCCTCATCAAACTGCTGCAACACTTTTATAAATGATGATAATCTACCTAGCAAGCTCCTTTCCAAATTATCATCACACATTTGGTCAAGGAAAGTTTTTTTTTTTGGTCTAGTTTCTAGTGTAAATATCTTAGTAGACTCCAAATAATATAAAACTAACCCAAAACAAACTTTTCAGGAAGACGTAGGAGCTGAAGAGTCAATGAAAAGAGCATTTAAACTGATCTTTTTTACATATTGAACTTACTGGTTTTGCATCACCAGCAAATGCATTTAAAAGTTAAAGTTTACTAGATGGATTTTTTGTCTTACCTGCACCAGTAACACTTTTATATATCTGCATGTATTTATAGTCACACTATAGTTTTTCAGTATTTTTTGTGTACTCTGGTAGCTAAGCAACATTTCTAACCCTAACCCAATGACAAGAAAGTAAGTCTATGTTTAATTTTATGGCTTACAAATAATCACTATTTGATGTACTATAATTTCTACTTTAACTGACCAATGATATATTCAAATTTCTTAATTGGCTCTAATCACAGTCATCTCATCTTTAAATATTCTTAACTGGTTTGTCTGGGACAACATCTGTCATCATTCAGGCTCTAGTTTTTCTTTAAGCCTCTTTCACAGCAGAGTTCTTAAATTATTACAAAAAAAATGTAAACTATTACCTTAACACAATGCTGGATGATAAACAGTGACAGTCTTTTTATAAACTTTCACAACTCAAAGTGAACATTTTTCATTCAAAAACTGCAGAATACAGTTTGTTCCTACCTGTGAGTCGCAGCGAAACGAAAGCGTTCAGGTCAGAGTAGCAGCAGAGTGTGTTCGCAGCGCCGGCCAGCATGTTTCACCTGGGCTGTGTTTTCACCTGCGTGCTCAGGATAAACACCATCCCTCTCCGGACTCGGCTGGTTCTGGAGGTTCTCCTGCATGTCCGGTTCTGCTTTAAAAGGACGGCAGTGAGCAGCACCAGCCTACAGGAGCCTGCAGGAGTCTGTGTGCTTTCTGACAACCTGAGATTTTATGCATCATGCTTTTAATGGCCACCAACAACACAGAGAGGAAAGCCTCTGCAGACTTAACCCCCACCATCTCCAACACACACACACACACACACACACACACACACACACACACACACACACACACACACATCTCATCAGGCCGCCTGATCCCTGGATTTACAGGCTTAGTATTAAGAAAATACTCCTGCAATTTGGGATTAAATCCCCCCAAACCCTTTCCAACAACAATGACTCTGTCCGTTTGATATCTTGATACTTGTCATCAGTTGCTGCTTTTATTGCCGTCAGGCACCTGAAACTTTTAATCTGCTAATTTAAGTATTTCTGAGAAAAGTTTTTTTTTTTTTTTAATTATGCATTTTGATGTTAAGACACTTTTAGTGGAAAAGCTGGATATAAAATATGTTTCTGACTTTTCTTAACAGTTGAGCTGCCTTGTTTGTTTTGTGCTAAGATTACTTTTATTTTAGTTAAATTACCTAATTTTGTGTTTATATTTCAACTTTTCTCTCCTAAGCCAGCTGTTTGATGGTATTCCCATCATAAATAGTTGGAAAAACTGTAGATTTTTCCTATTTGCACCGTCATTAAGAGGAAAAAGTTCAAGTAGGTAGCAGGATTTAAAGTGGAACAATTCTATGTATTTATGCAGAAAATTAAAACAAATGCAACATCATTTAAATGGTTTTCTTTAGCAAATATTCTTATCATTATAAAAATGTTGGTTTGCTGCAGTTATAATGTCACATTTGTGTTTTCAAGTAATTGAATGACGGAGTCAGCTGAAAGGGAGTCAACAGCAACAGGTGGGAGAGGGGCAGCACTGGTATGTGCACAACTGGCAAGTAGCAAGTACTGATCATTTGGACGCATCTCAAATTTGTAGTTTTTATTTAATTTATTCCCCAAAATTGAGAAACCTGCTGCAAGAGTGAAAACGTTTCCTGTCTCTCTGATGAACAACGACTTAAATAAATGTATAAATTTGGTAATATGACTCCAGGAAGTATTATTTATCAGCAAATATAGTTAATTTAGTATAGTAAGGGATTAGTTCTGTAATTTTTATTTATTTGAGCCAGCAAAATGAGTGGAAACTGGAAGCTTTAGAGAGTTTAACATGAAGTTTAATTCAATTATGTAAATACAAATACTGAGTTAATCAGCGGACTGGGTTCACACTGAAACCATCTCATTAAATCGATTGGTTTCTTTGTTTTAAAGTGAGCTTCAAATATTTTTTTTAAAAATGGCTTTTTGTTATCCTCCTCTGGGTTTTTGTTTTTTTTAAATCTTGAAAGATGCTTTCTAGGTAAAGTTTTTTTTTTTTTTTTTTACTAAGCTGCAGAGTTTTCTTATAGCCTTGCTCATATTTATCTTCCTTCATACACTGAAAAAACTAAAACAGGTGATCCAACTTTTAAAAAATGAGTTAATTATTTAAAAATTATGTTTATCCAAGTGAATATATTAAGTTGCCACGTTAAACAAACGTAAAGTAAGTTTAACAAACTTGAATTTGATTACATGTAACTCTATTTATTCAAATTGAAGCTACGTTCTCTATTTTTGCATTAATATGATAAATATCGACTTTTTTTTAAGTTTAGGCATTAATTTCCCGTTGATGCAGCTGATTTATTCTCCCCTCTCCTGCAGGCCGAACGGCTCCAACTTTTACACCTAAACTTTTCGACTTTCAATATGACGTGTCGCGCCCTGATTGGTCCGCTTCCCCGGCGGAGCGCTGTGATTGGTCGGCAGCGGTAGGGGCCGAATCTGCGGCTGCTTGATTCATAGAGCAGCTGGTTTCACAAACATTCATCAATCTCCGTCCGTCAGCAGCAGCAGGAGAGAGAAGAGCCGCGGATCACTCACACAGCGTGTTTAGGCTTTTATTTTCATCTTTCTTTAACGTCTCGGCCTGGAGGCTGGTGTGAAATAATACAAGAGGAGCTGATCTTCAAAATAACCGAATAAATCTTCCCTGATGTGGATATATCTTCTAAATATATGGATAAATATAATTGGTTTAATATTTAACGGGAATCTACAGAGGAGATCAAGAAAGGTGAGACCTGGGAATTAACTTTTTTTCTTTCTTTCTTTCTTTCTTTCTTTCTTTCTTTCTTTCTTTCTTTCTTTCTTTCTTTCTTTCTTTCTTCACTGTAATAACATGTAATTCCACGCGGCTGGAATTACTGGAATATTTTTCTGTCCATTTTTCTGCAACCCTAAAAATCACGCAACGTGTTGGATTGCGGTAACTGCAGAGGCGTGAAAAACACATTTGGGTTGCGAATTAAACACATTGATAAAATAAAACTGTTTACATGCCAGCTTTTCTTAAAGCCTTGTTCTTTAAATTATTTATTAAATCATTAATATTACAAAATATTTATATAAAAAGTCTATTTTATGGGAAAAGAAATACTCCCAGTTGCATTTATCGCCGTTTTGGATGACTTTTTTTTTTTCCAGCTCATTTCGTGTAAAATAACTCAGGCCGTGGATAAACTTTCAACAGTCACTTTTACGCAGTTTCGTGTCAAAACGGACAAAGAAATGTGTAAATTAACAAGCTCTGAAGTGAAGTGTTTCTCAGCGGAATCTAAACATGACATTAACTTCACTGTCAGGTTTATTCCGCATATAAATGTAAACTTCCCAGGTGGAAACAGGCTGGAAAGACGCAGACATCAGATAAGAGCTCTCTGCTAATTGCCGCCTGTAGATCTAATCTAAATTATAATGGAGTTCATTTGCACACAGTTTTCGGCGCATTTACATTGCGCAATCCGGGCGCTTCCTGCGGTTTATGGAAACAAGCGGAGCTTTATTGGGAGCGTTGATGCCTGAGTTCAGCTTTCAGGCGGAAACGAGCTTCACTTTGCCTGCTGAACACAGAGGATTGGGGAATCATTACCTAAATATACGCTGGTTTACACCCAAACTAATGATAATTACAGCGGGTTTCTATTAAAAAAAAAAGAAACAATTCATTTGTAAATAAAATAAATACATTTAGAAAAATATCAACCTTCTTTAAATAATATTTGTCCACAATTACGCGTTTCCAAATGCAGTTGAGCCAAGTTTGGGTGCGATATAAAGCCTTCCGAAACCTGCTTTTGTTTGCGTCGGAGCTGAAAATAAACAGATTTAAACTGCAGCATTAATCCATAGTGCAATAAGCCGCGCCTCGGGTTGAGTGGCTCTTCAGGAGCGCATTCCCTCAGAGGATGGAGGAAATCCTCCAGCGGCCTGAAATTCAAACGCGAGTCTCCGCAGGTCCGTCTTAATTACTGAATTAATGATAACATCACGGAGCGCGATGGGCAGGCCACACGTTCAGGGAAATGAAATGATAACTCAGCCTCACTGACTCGTTTCAGAGCGGAAGCTGCTTCATTTCCTTTAAACTTCTCATTTCTTTAATTCTCTCGAAGCTGTCGATTAGTTTCCATGTCACAACCAAAAACTCTAAAAAAAAATATTACAATTCAGCCAAAATCAGGGTTCGTTTTTTTTTCTTCTACTTTAATAAGACTTTAGAAAATCATTATTATAGGATTTAAGCAGTTTATCCTCAACCTAACACATTAAAGTTATAAACATCTTACACTTAAAAAAAACGACTGGAATTCAACCAATGAAACGTGTTTAACATTTGGCGTCAATCTAGTCGGATTTTGATCAAATCTTTAACAAGTTAAAGACATTCAACCAATAAATATAAATACTCATTTCAATAGTTACATTTTTATAATAAATATTTTTCTCTGCCTTGTCTCACCTTGTTAAAAAGAAACAAATAATGAGAGCACGGTTTAAAGATATAAAGCATTACTGGAAAAAAACCCTTTTAAATTCTATTCTGAGGTGGGATGTAAGTGTTTTTAACGATAGTTAAGATTTGTGCTAATTCTGCAAACAAACTTCAGCTTTTAGCTCAAAGCAGAAACTTTCTTAATTCTTAGCTTTCTAACTTTGAGGGACTTGTTAAACTCTTTATTAATTTATTTTTACTATTTTCTGCTGAACACTTTAAAAATAAGATCTGAATGAACCAACGTGTTCAGTCCAATTCTAAAAGTTGATTGGTGACCAAAATAAATTAGCTACGGTTTCTAGAATGAAAATGTTATTTAACATCATGTTCATAAACAAACGTGCTTGATTCGTTATATGCTGCATTTAGTTATCTTTAGAAATAAAATAAAATAAAATAAAACTCCCGCTTGGAGGCACCGACTGATCGAGTTCAATTCGGAACAAAATGGGAATATCATTTCCCAAATCAGGAATCAGGAAATAAATAACTCCTGATTTATTTCAAATCAGGAGTTATTCTTATTTCTTACATCTGCAGCTCTAAAATATAATATTAAAAGATGTTTAAGCAGTTCTTCGTTAATTTGAGGGAGTCCGCATTTTAGATAATTGCCTTCACCTGACGTAGTTTTTTAGTTTTGCGCATGTGCGTTTGTGTTTTTGCAGGAGCCGACGGTCCCAGTCGATCACCGGGGACCCGCACCTGTCCAGTCCGCCCAGACTCCGGTCTCCCCTCGCTGCTTCTAGCATGATGTCTTACCTCAAGCAGGCCCCGTACGGCATGAGCGGGCTGGGCCTGAGCGGAGCCGCCATGGACCTGCTGCACCCGTCCGTGGGCTATCCCGGTACGCACGAAGACAAACACAAAATAACGCCTGCAAACGGAAACAAAAACCTCCACAAATGTGTTTTTTTTTTTTTTCACTTCCAGGTGCTTGTTTTAAAATATATTCTTATTTTTATGGTGAGTTTTTACTAAGCTGGTGTGTTCGTTTTACGCTTCAAACTGAATCCTACTTAAAAGCACTTCATATTCTTAATTTTACTAAAATTAGCGTAACCCACCAGTTATCCACTTTACTATAAAGATAAACGATTTTCAGATTTTATCCGATATTTCACATTAAATTATTTGGATTTCGGTGTAGTAAAGTGTAAGAATTAACTCTAACAACATCCAGAAGTGGGTAGAGTAGCAAAAAAATGTACTCAAGAGCATTTTTACTCAAATAAAACTAAAGAGTAGCTGTCCTAAAAAAATTATTCAAAAATATTTAGTGAAAACTTCCATTCAAATACTAACCATAACATCTGATTTAATGTTAAAAAATAAAAAAAAAAAAGGTCACCAGGCAGACAAGAATATAAAGTTAGGAGCACATTCTTGCATTTTACAGATTAAAATAATAATTAAATCAAATAATAATGATAAAATAACAAATGTAGGTAAAGAAAATCCTTTCTCCAATATATATAAAGCAGGTTAAGATATTTCCAGTGACACTATTCAGTGTTTACTGTATCTTTGACCTCAAAGGGACACAGCAAGTTCAGCAAATGGAAAATAACTTTGCAATAAAACTGCAGCTTGTGCAGAAACACAACGTCTCACTTTAAGATAAACTGGAGGTTTCTGTTTAAAACAAGCTTGTTCTTCATTCAGTAAAGTTACTCGCAGTGGGAACATCCAGAAATTTTACTCAAGGAAATGTAAAGACACTTCAAAGTAAAATTAGCCAAGCAAAAGTAAAAGGTGTGGTGCAGTAAAACTTGTTTTTCCAAAATTTACTCAAGTAAATGTAATTTATTATTGACACATCTTAGCAGAGGCTGCAGGACAAAAAGTTCACATGGCAACTTGTTAGAATATATTTGAAAAGTTTATTAATACTTCTCTAAAATTGTATTCCTTTTTTCTATCTTAGCTTCTGAATAGCAGCTAAGATAGACCAACTAAATGAGCAAAAGAATAAAATGATTATTCAGTAAACAGTAATTTAACTCGGTATTTAAATTTATGATGTCATAGTTCCCAGAATCCCCACAAACAAACAAAAAGCACATTATCTGATCTTTTTGGTAACAAGTTCACTCAATTTGAATAATTTACAGATTTAGTTATTACTGTAAAGTATGTTATAGTTTGGTGGTACCATCTAGCAAATTTATTACAGAAAATGTTTTTTTTTAATCGGATTTTGTGAAAAATGAAAGAATCAGAACAATAATCTAATTGTGCAATTCAAACAATAATACACTAATAATAATACACAATTACAAAGTAGTCAGCAGAAAAGGAAGCAAAATGTGACGACAAGCAAACAGTTTCTATAAAAACTTGTTTGAGGATTAATTATGACAAGCTGCAAAACAATAACAGTTCATGGATGATTAAAAGACATTTTATAGTTAACATTTCATAATGTTTCCATTTGTAACTTTGTGTCAAATTACATAATTAAAAGAGCAAAAATAAAGACAGCTCAGCCCACAAAATGTTTATAATCTTCTAATCTGTCTTGTTTTTTGCATCGAGTTTCATCCAGAAAACATGTGTAACATGAAGCAAACAGAAGATGGGACCGAATCTTTAGTGAGATGCAGTAAAGAACTGTTGTTGTTACAGTAACTTGGTGAAAAACAGACCAAACTGTTTGCAGTGTAATTACACCCGGATGTGGCAGTTTTTTAACCGGGCAAAATGGCTCTCTGCCCAGCACTGCAATCCATCAGGGGGCGACACAAGCACTCTGAAATTAAGATTATGTCATTTGCATCTGAAAATAGTTTTCTGCTGCTTGCATGTCCAGTGGTTGCCACCAGTGTCATTTTACAGTGCAGAATGCAAGCACTGTAAAAAACAAAATGCTAATGGTTTTGAAGCTGGTGTCTGATTTGAAGATTTCTACTTGGTTCTACATGTTGGACTTCTTTTACTGTTTGTTTTTTTAAAGGAATTTGGGCTACAGCTCAAAATCTAAATGGTTATAACTGGAATTGAGAAGAGAGTCTTTAAAACACAGTTTGAGATTTATTCAAACTTCATTTGTTTTGTAAAAACACAGAAAAGAGTTGAACGTTAAGCACTTTTTCAGATTGAATCAAGCTCAAACATGGACTCAATTAATTATTCATTGCAGATTTTTACTAAACATCAGATTTAATTTAAGAAGTTTTTAACATGAAAGTGATTAAATAAAATCAGGAAACGATGTGCAGGAGAGGCTCACCTGTAATGTCAGGAGAAAAACCACCACTTTCCAAGTTTCTGCCAGAAAAGTTTTGAGTAAACTGGGTTTGTGCAATTTTTGTTCATCGCTCCAAGTTTTGAATTTGGTTGTTGTATTTTGCAACTTTATAATTAAAGTTTTCCATGTTTATGATTGATTGATTTGTTCTTTCATTGAAAGCTGATTTTTTTTTTTCCTTGAGTGAAAATCATAACAAGTTTAGACCGAAGCTTCATGCACAGTTGCACATTTAACTTTAGGGTTTTATCAGGTTTTTGAAGGTTCCTGGTGATCGACATTAACACTTTTTTTGTGATTTTTTTATTTGTTTTGTTCCATCAGCCAACCCTCGAAAGCAGCGGCGGGAACGTACGACCTTCACCCGGACGCAGCTGGACATCCTGGAGTCTCTGTTCGCCAAAACGCGCTACCCAGACATCTTCATGAGGGAGGAGGTGGCGCTGAAAATCAACCTGCCAGAGTCCAGAGTGCAGGTCAGCTAGGACAAACACTGCAGTTACAAAAAATACACAACTTCTCATCAGGGAGGGGGGAAAAATGCTGATTTGGCTTTTTTTTTTTTAAGTCTGGAGTCGAACGTTAAATTCAAACTTAAATGCGTTCTTTGAAACTTCCAACTTCAGGAAATACAGTGTAAAGGGTTTAATGTCACTTCCTGCGAGACTCATCTGTGTTTCACCTCGGGCTCGATTAACTTTGCTGTGAGCAAGAAATATTCAGCGACTTTCAGTCGAGTTTAGACAAGTCTTTAAAGAAAGTTTGGCAGCTTTTGATACGATGAGCTTTCTTTCAAAAGAGCTTCTCAGAGATTTTCCTTAGCTAGCTTTAGGAATCCTCAGCCGGGATTAGAGCTGCAATATTGGCTGCTTTTCCTTATTTTATCTGGGAAACGTCCAAGTTTCAACATTTCTATTACCATTGTGGGTTACATCTTATAGAAACAAAGATTATTTTTGGCAAAATGCAGCAAATAAATATTGTTGTATAACTTCACAACTACAGTAAGTTACAAACTAGGAATTTGTTTTTGTACAAAATTAATTAGGAAAATGAAAAAAAAAAATCCTGATTATTGACCCCAGAGGTTGAAGTTAACTAAATGGACTTTTACCATCCATAAACAACTTATTTCTCAAAAACATCATTATTTTATGAACATTTAAGCTTTCACCATGCACAGTTATTGACAGAAAATCTGATGATTATTTACACAAATCAGGGAAGTATGAGGCAGTGCTCCACAAATGATCTTCCTCTATAAAGGAAAGCAAATGGAAGATGGAAAGAAAAACCATTCAATAAAAAAATCAAAGCTGACAATTAATCTTGATTAATCACAATTAATCTTGATTAATCAAGGATTAACCTGGTTATAACTGTGTAGGAAAACTTCCCAAGCTATCGTTTCAGGTTCACGATTAATCAGATTAATCAGATTAATCAGATTAATTGCTTCAGTCCCAGTCGGATGTACAGTAATGACCTTTTAACGTCTTCGTTCCTCAGGTTTGGTTCAAGAACAGGCGAGCCAAGTGTCGGCAGCAGCAGCAGAGCAACAACAGCGCCAAGGTGAAACCACTGAAGAAGAAGTCGTCTCCGACCAGGGAGAGCACTGGATCCGAGAGCAGCGGCCAGTTCACTCCGCCGGCCGTGTCCAGCTCTTCCTCCTCCACCTCTACCTCCTCTTCCTCGTCCTCTGCCTCCTCTGGTCTTGGCGGTCCTGCTTTGATCAGCACTTCTACCTCCGTCACCGCTCCGGTGTCGTCCATCTGGAGCCCGGCGCCGATCTCCCCGGCCCCGGCGCCGGCCAACCTGCCCGACCCGGTCGCTCCAACCAGTGCATCCTGCATGCAGCGCTCCGCCACCTCCTCCTCCAATGCCGGAGCAGCTTCCTATCCGGTGTCCTACAGCCAAACGGCGGCGGCGTACAGCCAGGGCTACCCGGCCTCAGCGTCGGGCTCCTACTTCAGCGGGGTGGAGTGTGGCTCCTACCTGGCACCCATGCATTCCCACCACCACCCGCACCACCCGCACCAGCTCAGCCCCATGACGGGCTCCTCCATGACCGGACACCCACACCACCATATTGGCCAGACGACGGGCCACCACCACCACCACCCGCCACATCACCACCAGGCGTACAGCGGGCCCGGCTTGGCCTTTAACTCCACAGACTGTCTGGATTACAAGGAGCAGACTGCAGCTTCAGCCTGGAAGCTCAACTTCAACGCTACCGACTGTTTGGACTACAAAGACCAGGCCTCTTGGCGCTTCCAGGTTCTGTGACTTCCTTCGCCCATTGCTTAGTCTGTTCAAAGACTTTCTTTTTGTTCGTTTTTTGTAAATTGAAGATCCCAAATCTAATAGAAAAGACATTTTTAAAGGGGCAGTGTTATGAAAAATGTAAGATTTTTTTTCCGTCTTATTCCCTCATCAGAAACATACCTGGAGTGTCGCTCTGATTCATTCATGCAAGTCCTTTCATCTTCCCTGGCAACCATTCAGCTGCACAAAACACCTAGGTGGACTTAGCTCCGCCCCCACTCACCTCCTTCAGACTAGCCTGCAGCAATTAGCAAACATCTGATGTAACTGCACATCTGCTGAACTCCTTCTATGAGCCATTTCTCAGTGAAACGCTGCTAAAAAAAAATAATAAATAAAACACTGTTAAAGGGTTAAAGAAGAGCAATGTGTTTATTTTATTTATTTTATTTAAAATAGTGTCCATAAAACTGACATGACACTGTCATAAACATGAAGGAGTGTTCATGAATGTTTATTTACTGAATGTGTTCATTCAGTAAATAATGACAATTTTAATGCAAAGTTGCACTAAAAGTTGCATTAAAAGTCCATTAAAGGCGTAAACATTGCATTATTCGGTCAAGAATGACCCTTTTAATGGAAAGTTCTATTAAAATTAACATAAAAAATTCAGTAAGAGTCAACTTTGCATTAAAAGTGTCATTATTTACTGAATGACACTTCATGGACACTCCTTCATGTTTATGATGCCTTCATGTCTTAAATAAAGCGACCTGTTGACTTCCTGAAGGCGGAGTTTCAGAAAGAGCTGGAGTTTTTAAAGAGACAGAGACCCAATTTTAAGGCGTTAAGTTACAAAGTAAAATTTCTTTTAAATCATATTTGATATATAGCATTTTTTTAACAACTTAAGTAAACATAGTTACTTATAGTTGTTCTGTAAAAGTGGCACTATGTGCCTGGAGGACACATAATACTGCCCCTTTAAAAACGTACCTGTGAATGAACTGAAACCATGCACTGAGCAGCTACACCTTGAGTTCAACCCTGCTGTTACTTGTGGATTATTTTTCTACTCCAGAATTTGGGAAAGAAAAAAAAAACGGACTTATTTCCAACTGAAGGCCTTTAACAGGAAAACTCCTCTGGAGATGCATACAGTCTGGGATCACCTCAGCGAAGAAAAAAACACAAGATGGGGAGAAACAAAGTCACCTGTTGGACATCACGACGGGCTGAGATCTTATTTTTAACAACAGGATGCTGCTGGGATTTTCAGCCTGAATCTCAGAAACTCCATTTTACAGGGGAGTGTCGGAGAACGGTTTGCAGCACTTGTTTGGGATTGTCACACTTTCCTAGTTGCTCTTTGCAAGGGAAAGAAAAGCAAAATGTGAATTTGTATCACAATGTCAGAATGCTGTAGATTCTAAAAATGTACATTTGTGTCTTTATAATAAAGTCTTGTTTAAACCTTGAGAAATGTTTGTCATTTCTGAAGATCCAGTGTTGGCAGGAGCAGTTAGTCGCTCTGGTTTAAAATATGTGGTGAACTGATTTCACTTCATTTATTGCTACACTGTAACACATTTGAGCTGCATTTAGTTGTGTAATCTTTATTTATTTGATTTAAAGAGTTGTCTTCTACTCTTTAAATCAAATAAATTTAGCCAGGTTTAGATTCTGAACCTAAATGTGAGTTTGTGAAAGATAAACTTACAGCAGTCAGTTGTGTTAACTTTTTATTAATTTTGTCAAACCTCCAGGAGTTGAATAAACTAGAGTTTTCGCTAATTAAAAAACTGAAAGGAGAAAAAGGCAGGAGTGGGAACTATTTCCCAGAATGCTTAGCGGCATGTTTCTGTATCCTGAGATGGAAGTGCGTCACATTGATCCGACTCTGGTGTTTTATTAAGGAAAATGTTTATTTTAAAGCTTGAGGATAAAGTCCTGTTCACACTAAATGTTTCTGAGCTGAATTCATTGTGAAGTTTAATAAAATTCATCATCAGATCAGAAATTTTGTTCATGCAACTTGAAACAAGAATTTAAATTATTCTAAAATAAAATAAGTAGATATTTTATCTTAATATTGTGAGTGAAATAATAGAGAAATGTGGCTCTTTAACCAGGAGAGGACTGGTTTTTTCTTACATATTGTGAAATATTTTGTTTAAATTGCAGCATTAAGTTAAAACTCACAATCTAAGATTAATGAACTTTAAAAACAATGTTTAGACAACTTGTCTCTTGTTGTTAAATCAACTTCATGAACTTTAATTTCTGAGTTAAAACCAAAACATTTTTTTTTTGTTGACTTAAATTACATTTTCAAGGCAGCAGGTGGACTTTTGTTTTTAAGTTAAACCAACTTCAAATGTTTTAGAGTGTATAATAACAATCTGAAAAGGACCAAATAGCGACATGAGATCTTGTGATGTTCAAACATCGTCAAAGTGAAGTCTATCTGACAAAACTCAAACTGGTTGCTGTTTTATTCTAAGCTACTGTTAAAAGCAGGAAGATATTTTCATGTTTCATTCGTCTCCTTTTGAGTAGCAACAAAACAAACAGTGACCAACAAGGTAATTGTAAGAACTGGAAGAATATCTAAACTCGCTAACAGTTAGCTGCTGCTAACTGAGTTTCCCCACAAGAACCTGACTACAGTTTGCAAATGCAAGAACCTTTACTCTGTACATTAAACCACAAAAATTACTTTTTTCAGTGTTTTTAAGCATTAGAAATAGATAAACTATTAAAAAGTAAATGTATGGATTGATAAACCTATACTTAATTATTCAGATTGTTTAAAATAAAGTTTGTAAACCTTTGCTGTATTGATGATTTTTTTTTTTTTTTTGAAAAAGGTGACATTTTGTGTCATCCCATTTCTTAAGTTGGATGTTTCATCACACTCTTTTCAGAGTTAAAAAACTATCATCATTCATTTTTGTTATGCCTGTAACAACAAATACTTCCAGCTCAGGTTAACTTACCTGCTGATGACAAACTGTCTGCTCAACAGTTTACAGTCAGCCAATCAGATGGACTGATCAATCAATAACCTCCAATAACGTCGTTCCTGTGTGAGGAGATGACAACAGACTTAATGATTTTCTGTTCACACATTTACCTCTGTAAATGTTTTCTGCGCTAAAGTGAAGAAATGATCGCCCTACCTCTCTAACTGAAATTTTTATTTTACACTATGATTCCATAAACTCACTGAGATGTGAGTTTAACAAACTAATATTAGGGAATATTAGTTTCCCTAATATTAGGGAATTATATTTCCCTAATATTAGTTTGTTATTCCTGTAATAAGCAAAGCAGCACTAAAATTTAAAAGACTTATTTATTTACAAAAATAGAGCGGTGTGTTTGTTTTATATGGCTGTGAATTTTTGGGAAAAGTTTTCAACTAATTTTGCAAATTTAGCCAGAATTTTCTCTAAGATGATTAAATAATTCTAAGAATAGCAAACAAGAAGGCTTTATGGTTGTTGTTTTTTACTTTATCCTACTGACTGCAGACATTTGTGTCCAGAGTGACTTTTAAAGATGATGTGTGAAGTCAGTCTTTAGCTGAAGTAGAAAATTTAAAACAACTGAAACTGAAAATGTTCTTATTATCAGTGTACAAAATCATGGTGGATATGTTAACAGTCTATATGTTAAAGGAGACAGTTGTTCTCAGTTAATGTTTTATTTTTTACTGAACAGATTATGAGTTCATCAGCAGGGACAGCTACAGGTTTTGGATGAGAGGTTTGCATTAGGATAAAGATGAGTTTTTCAGCTTTATTTAAATTATTGTACGTTGCAAACCGTCAGTATACTGTAACGTTATTTCCACATCACACGAGTCATGTGATTCACAACTGGATGTTACTACTGGTGGAAATGACAAAGAAGACTGCGAGGACGATGGCGCAGCATGTTTTTAAACGACTTATCGTGCGAACAAACTTATTCACGTGTGATTTTAATTGTTTCTTATTTAATGGGAACACTGCAATTGAGAAATTGTGTTTTTCTGACATTATACCAGCAAAGTTTTGTGCATATTTGTAATGGAAACGCAGCTACTGCAAAAAAATTCAAACAAAGCCTTAAAAAGCTGCACATAAACCTGAGCACACAACATTCCTGCTTCTTACCTGTTGGTCACATTTTAAAATCAATCCGAATCACATAAAAGATCAACAACACAAAACTCAGAAGATGACAATCAGAGGTTTCAAATCTTTTGTAAAAGATATTATTAAAAAAAAAAGAAGTATTTGCTGTAGCTCAAAGTGGGTCAGTGTAAATGTTATCTCTGGCACCCAGAGGAAAACATTCAGCGAGGATGTCAATAATCAAAGCCGTCCCCCTCAGCAGCACTGGACCAGGTTAGCAAACATGTACACTGGCTTTCCCCGTGTTTGTTTGGCTGTGTCGACCGCAATATACAACTCATTTGATCCGAGGGAGAAAGGGACGAATCACGATTTTAATTAACCACTGCCCTGCTTCCTTGCTGTGTCCCTCCAGCAGCTGGACAAACAGTTTTTTTTGTAAACATGGCGTCTGTGCCACGTGTTTGCCCGCCCTGCATCCAGCCGGGTTTTACCAGCATGCACCGCTGCTTTGTGTAAACACCGACCCAGATGTACCACATTAGGCCAAACTAATCTGTAGGCCACGTTCAGGCGATGAACAAGATGAACGGCTGCTTGTTTCTTATCTCTGTAGTGACTAAATGTCTTGTCTAAATAAATTCCAGGTTCTATCAGGAGCTTTTTTAACCACTTAAGTGAGTAAAATGTAAATAAAAAAAACAGAGAAGTTCTACTGGACAAAGATATTTCCAAAAGAAGATAGCAGCAGCGAGAGAAAGAGCAAATCCACCTTTGATAAAGAAGATGGTCCTTTGATAAGGGAGAAAAATGCACAAATCACAAACAATAGATAGATGATGAGCCAGGACTGAATTATGAATATAATCTCAAGTAGCTGCCATGATTTTTAATGATTTATCGCATGAACACGTTTATTTATGTGCACTTTTAATTTAATTCCTTATTTAATAGAAATGTTAAAATTGCAAAGTTGTGTTTTTCGACATCGGCAGAATATCGACAAAGATTTTCTTGCGTTCGTAAAGGAAACGCAGCTGGCGATGCATCATCTTCCATCCACATTCTCAGAGAGAATCATCGTTTTCAAGGTAAACGTTGTCAACATTTTTTAAACAACCAGGATGATTTTCAAACCAACTTGGTACCTTTTAATCCAACATCTTTTTTTCCCATCAGTGTTTGGTTTGTGGATCTTCTGAATTAAACAAAAAGGCAGAAAAACAGAA